TTATGAGCTCAAGATTTCTATCACGCATAGAAATCGAGAGCGAATAATCTTATTGTTTTAGTATAAATCTACTAGTCGTTCAAAACTCTATCTAAATCCCCTTCAAAGACACTTCAAAAACACTAAGAAGTGGCCGTCATTTTGTCAACAAGGGCACACCGCTACGCTTCTCACTATCTATCACAGAATAGATTGTGAGTAGCGTGGCCAATCAGAGAATGGCATTCGTGATATAAAACTAGTAGATTTGTACTAAAACTCGATAGAAACACAGATCTAGCACAAGCTGTCAACATACGTGTAATCATTGCATAGGCAAAGAGAATTTACAATGTACATTTTGGTGATCAAAGTAAACAAGTTACACTGTAGTTAAGATAAGATAAGATACTTTATTTAATGTGGAGTTACGCTTAGCTAATTAGCTAGTTTACAGGTAATGCACGGCCTTACAGCTGTAGTATATTCTAAAAATTAAAACTAAAAATGTGCAATAATTGATCGTATAAAACTATAAAGACCTATAAATGCAGAGAACTGAAAATCTAAAGAATCAAATTACAATAAATTCCAACTTCAGTCAAACTTAAGCGATCAAGTTTTGTTGTTCACTTCATTAGTGCCTACTTTAAATTTAGTTCTCATATCATAATTTGTTAGGTCATTCCATTTCTTTGTGGCAAAATATCTCCATGATTTGAGACCATATTTAGTTGTGTTACATGTAATTTTTGGCAAAGAAAGGATATAGTCATGTCAAAGGTTATACTTGGATGATGGTAAGGTGATAAGATCTCTAATTGCGGATGGAGCTTTGTCCGATATACAATTGTTTATTGTCGACAGCATGTCCTGAATTCTTTGAGTTTCCATGGATGGCAGTCTGATTCTTTGTAAGAGATCTTGATAAGGTACACTTTTATTATTTTTTAAAGACGTACCTTAAAGCCCTTTCGTTGACTTTTTCGATTTTAGCAGTATTTCTTTTTCTGCAGTGGTGCCAGACTTGGTTACCATAGTTAAAATATGGTAGTATAAATGCAAAGTAGTATAAATGTTTTCTTTTTTGTTGCAAAATTTCCTCGGACCGCTCCCCATCTGGCAGTAGTTCTTTGGAAGAAGATAGTTTGTATGGCATCAATTAGGATGTTTCTTCTCATTAATAATAATACCAGTTTGGCTAAAGAAATCTTCTTTTATCTTCAAACATGATGCACAATCCAAGGCCCACCCACCCATGACTCACTCACCGTGATTTATTCACCCCTTGCATAAACTCATTGTTCATGTTCCAGCAAGATGCTTTTTTAAAGAGCACTAGTTTCCCATCCAAATTAGAAGGAAGCAATCTCAGAAAAGTCAGCCAGACTTTTTTCTCCAGTGAGGTACATAATTTATACAGCTTGAGCGCATCTTTATTTTTTTGTAGCATTTTCAAAGAAATATCCTGTTTCATTTGACAGCGTTTTCAAGGAAATGGCATGGTTGAGGTAGTAAATGTATTCATGGCACATTGTTTTTTGTGTAGAGTAATTAAAATACTAGTAATCATCAATTTCTTGTAGTTTCCACTTGGTGACAGTCCATCTCCATTGCCAAACAAGTCCATGAATATGAACTATAATCAGGTAAACCTGTAAAATTTTCTTATTATTAATACATCAGTTTTATGTCACTATTACCTGCTGGCACAAGATTTTAAAAAATATTAACTGAGAAGAATTCTTGCAGCCTATACTTGAGGCTGAGGGCAAAGTCCCTGAACAAAGTGTTCAGGTTTTATGATAAAGAAAAAAACATACAAACAAACAAACAATATACAGTACCGCCTGAAACTGTGGACCCATCAGGTTGGGGCAAAACTTCGTCTTTGCCGCATGCTCACACCTTGCGTCCCCTGCGGGTGAAAATATGTAGCACCGCGGTAAAGACGAGTGCGACCGCAATTGAAAAAATACCACGGCAAAACAGACAAGGTAATACCTCAAGGAAGTAATGTATGTGTATCGAGTAGAGTGGCATTTCTTCATCAACGTTGCTTGTAAACTCCATCATAATCCGGAATCAAGAAACATGCTTGATGGAAAGTCGAACAGTTAACATGTAAATGCCTATCCTCTAGTTTGTTTCACTCTTTTGGAAATGACTATCAGTAAGCCCTTTTATGAACTCTGATGACACTATTCGTAGGTGTTTTAATAGGGTTCACAGGGTTTTGAAGGTCACTTGATTAGAACAGCAACTGGATGGAGCGGTCAGTAGTACTAACACAATCAACAACGCGTTGATCCGTAATTGCAGCTACATGTGCTAAATGTTAACAGTTTCAGGTACTAAAGATGTAACTGTTCGTCGTCTAGTTCGTTTTTTTTTTTAATTTTAAAAGCGATGCATTGAAAGTAGTAACGCAACTTCGTGTAGTATTGGAAACAACAGAGGTCAGGAATCAGTGGAAATCAAACATAGAGCATCTTTTGATTTCTGTGAAAGGTCACATGAAATGTTAAAAAAAAATCCACTAGCCTAAACTGGTGAAAGGTTTTGATTCTCCTTTGATCTAGTGTGTAAAGGCAAATAATATATTTCCCTGTAGTAATCTTTGCTTAAAGGAAGGTTACATGTGTTGAATGCCGTCAGGAATAAAGAGCAGTCACCGCTCAAAAAAACGCTAATTAATTCTGTGTGGGAATCAGTGGAAATCAAACGGGTATGATTCTAACATCTGGAGATACAGATAAACGAAGCGGGAGAAACTACATACACACTGAAACTCTTTGAAAGGTAAAAGATAAAAACGCAAACAGTTGATACCAAAAAATGCGTAGATTACTATACCATAACCCTTACTGCCAAAAACCGTGGAATTCAATACGAAAATACATGTAGTGGCATGTCTTTTGTCGGCAAGCAACCTTTGAGCTTTTTCCAATATTTTGATCAGAATTATAACAAGCCAAATAACAAGCCTTATCACGACCACTTATATATGAAGGTTGTTGCTTTCGCACTGAGCTCTCAATGAAGACAGTGGCCGAGATACATCTTATAAGATATTGCATTTCCTTTAAAGCCAAAAGCTATTTTGACCATTGTTTATCCAGTGTCTTGTTCGCAATTCGGCCCATTACCCATCCCCCAAATTTAGTGGTAAGTATGCTGTGGGACCAGGCGAATTTCATTGGTTGCCACAAAGTAAACTTCCTGACAGTTTTCCACATGATTTTAATCCCTTCGTGACTCAGTTCACGCACAACCTGGCACACTTTGAAATTTAGTCTAAAAAGAGTTAAGATTCTTAATTTTACATACTCTGAAGTGCAGACCATGTTCAAAGCAGGAGACTTTGTTTGACGATGTAGTTTCACGTATGTTTTGATCGCATGTCACTGACATGTCACCGACGCACTCAAGCAAAACAAGCTGAGCGATGAATGGCGGTTTGGTTTTGTCATCTGTTCTTGCTTTCATTTTGTGATGTGTTACGTTATGTTTGGAGTGCTGTTATTAAACAGGTAGATGTATAAAAGCCGATGAAGGTTTATCTTATTCATGGTTTGGTTTCCTGAGAAAATGTTTGAACTTGAAGCACGTTCCATGAATATTACATTTAATAAGCTTACATCTCAATTGGCTGCAAGGAACCAGATACAAAACTTGGAACAGAAAAACTCGGATTGCTAATTCGGTGACAGCTACACAAGAATGAGGCATAAACAGCATTTGCCATTTTTTTTTTAAACCAGTGATCGGAGTTAACCCGGTTTTGTAACTGCCCGCTACAAAGCGCAGCACATATGTGACCTTCCATAGGAAAACACGTCTTATTGAAAACAGCGTTTTTAGGGCGTTTGAAACGCCTCACAAACGGGGTTTGACAGCGTTTCAAACGCT